AAATCGGAAAGTTCATTGATTTGCTGTATTTCTCAGGCCCATTTCATGGGACCTCCCCCAGCCCCTGATGGAAGTCAAAAAGATGGAAATCCCAAGAGGTTTTGGTCTTTTGTATCACACTACAATACTTAGCACATTTATGAAAGACATGCTTCTTTAAGTGCTGGTGGAGGACATATGTACGGTATATCACAAAAGTGATTACACCCCCTCCATTGATTTGCTGTATTTCTCAGGCCCATTTCATGGGACCTCCCCCAGCCCCTGATGGAAGTCAAAAAGATGGAAATCCCAAGAGGTTTTGGTCTTTTGTATCACACTACAATACTTAGCACATTTATGAAAGACATGCTTCTTTAAGTGCTGGTGGAGGACATATGTACGGTATATCACAAAAGTGATTACACCCCCTCACATTACATTAATATTTTAGTCTATCTTTTCATGTGACAACGCTGAAGAAATGATACTCGGCTACAAGGTAAAGCAGTGAGTATACAGCTTGTATAACGGTGTCAATGTGCTGTCCCCTCAAAATAACACAACACACAGCCATTAATGTCTAAGCCGCTGGCAACAAAGGTGAGGACACCCCTAAGTGACCATGTCCAAACTGGGCACAAAGTGTCAGTATTTTGTGTGGCCACCCTTATTTTCCGGCACTGTCTTAACCCTCTTGGGCATAGAGTTCACCAGAGCTTCATAGGTTGCCCTTTGGAGTCCTCTTCCACTCCTCTATGACGACATCACAGAGCTGGTGGATGTTAAGAGACCCTGTGCACCTCCACTTTCCATTTCAGGATGCTCCACAGATGCTCAATAGGGTTGAGGTCTGGAGACCTGCTTGGCCAGTCCATCACCTTTACCCTCGCCTTCTTTGGCAAGGCAGTGGTCGTCTTGGAGGTGTGTTTGGGGTCATTATCATGTTGGAATACTGCCCTGTGGCCCAGTCCCCAAAGGGAGGGCATCCTGCTCTGCTTCAGTATGTCACAGTCCATGCTGGCATTCATGGTTCCCTCAATGACCTGTAGCTCCCCAGTGCTGGCAGCACTCATGCAGCCCCAGACCATGACACTCCTACCACACTTGACTGTAGGCACGACATACTTGTCTTTGTACTCCTCACCTAGTTGCCACCACACACACTTGACACCATCTGAACCAAATAAGTTTATCTTGGTCTCACCGGACCACAGGACATGGTTCCGGACATCCATGTCCTTAGTCTGCTTGTCTGTAGCAAACTGTATGCAGGCTTTGTTGTGCATCATCTTTAGAAGAGGCTTCCTTCTGGGATGACAGCCCTGGAGACCAATTTGGTGCCGTGTGTGGCTTATGATCTGAGCACTGACAGCCTGACCCCCCATCCCTTCAACCTCTGCAACAATGCTGGCAGCGCTCATCCGTCTATTTCCCAAAGCCTACCTCCGGACATGATGCTGAGCAGGGGCACTCAATTTCTTTGGTCGACCGTGGCGAGGCCTGTTCTGAGTGGAACCTGTCCTGTTAAACCGCTGTATGGTCTCGGCCACCGTGCTGCAGCTCAGTTTCAGGGTTTTGGCAATCTTATAGCCTAGGCCATCTTGATGTAGAGCAACAATTCATTTTTTCAGATCCTCAGATAGTTCATTACCATGAGGTGCCATGTGAAACTTCCAGTGACCAGTCAGAGAGAGTGAGAGCAATAACACCTGCTCCCCCTTCACACCTGAGACTTGTGACAACAACGGGTCTCATGACACCAGGGAGGGAAAAGGGCTACTTGGGCCCAATTTGACCATTGTCACTTCGGGGTGTACTCACTTTTCTGGCCAACTGTTTAGACATTAATGGCTGCGTGTGTTGCATTATTTTGAGGGGACAGCACATTGACACAGTTACACAATCTTCATACTCACTGCTTTCCACTGCAGCCGAGTGTCATTTCTTCAGTGTTGTCACATGTAAAGATACCTTAAAATATTTATGAAATGTGAGAGGGTGTACTCACTTCTATGTTATACTGTATCTAGGTTATAACGCACTGCTTGGTTTTCCTCACCTCTGTTATCTAGCATTTAGTGTGCTTTGTTTGTGATTGGTTCCTGGAAGACAAATATGGGCTTCATTTGCAAGTCTGACAGTCAAAGCAAGGCACATAACTCAGGGGAAATCCCCTTGTAGGAGGGAAAAATGGGTTAAGAGGAGGAAATGCATTTCTTTTCAACATCTCGTTTAAGCCCTAAACTTGGGCTCATTCTTAATGGACCAGAGGTGATACTGGCAGGCAACGAGACTCTTCAAATAAAAGATCCAAGGCTCTGTAAGAAAACATCGACTTAAAGAGGAAGGCTTTGTGGTACAGACGTCCCTCTGTATCACTGGAGTCCACCAAGATCCGCAACATAATTTGGGGATTGACACCAACACAAGGCTAGCAAAAGATGCTCAAGCCGAAGCATTCCTGCATTCCTAGGGCAGGTATCTCTTGGGATCTCCAGGAAAGGGCAGTGCTGGCGCCTTGTTGAAATGTGCCATCAGGAAGACGCCGATGGTCCCGAAAACAAAGATGGAGAACATGGCGAGGAAACAGACACGGTCAACCACTCTTCCCACCAGGATCCACTCCTCGTTCTCCTGCAAGGAAGAAAAGATCAAACAGGCGGCAAAGTCAAAAAAGCTTTCCGTGAGTTGCAGGCATGTGCAAATCAAAAAAGCAGAAAGAGGGTTGATTTCTTTGCTGCTTCTTTCTTATTATTTATGTTCTTTACGCCTAAATATATATGGAGAGTCGTCTTAGAGCAGACCAAAGGTTTCTCTGGTCCTCCATTGAGTTCAAATGTGATCCAGCTGGTTGCCAATCAGAAAACTACCAGCAAAACATGGGTTCGGCTAAACCAACCATCCTGCATTCTGTGGTGACCCCAAAGATACTGCCTCAGGTACTGGAGATGAAATATACGTAGATACCCTAATGAGTAATCTGATGGCCTCCATGAATTTATCTAATCCTCTTTCAAAGCTATCTAAATTGGAAGCCATCACAACATCATGTGGCGGGGAGTTCCACAGTTGAAGAATGCACTAGGTGAATAAATTATTCCTTTCTTCTGCCCAGAATATCCCACAGTTCAGCAGATGATCTTGGGTTCTAGTCTTATGAGAGAGGGAACAAAATCTGTCCTCCCACCTTCGGCCATCACATCTTACATAAATATATACACCTCTATCATGTCCCCGATTAATTGCCTCTTTCCTCCACAAGCTGAATATCCTCAAGCATTGAAGCCTTGCCTCCCAGGAGAACTGAGGCAGCTTTTAATCACTGCTGTTGATATTTTCCTCACCAATGTATCTTGCATTTAGTGTGCTTTGTTTTGTGACTGGTCCCTGGAAGGTAAACACAAGACAAGCTACTGCTGTTGATATTTTCCTCACCAATGTATCTTGCATTTAGTGTGCTTTGTTTTGTGACTGGTCCCTGGAAGGTAAACACAAGCTTAATTTGCAAATTGCCAAACCATGTGTCTCTGACAAAGTTCCACTGCGGGAGGAATTTTGCAGGCAACAAATTCCCTTAATATTTTGCTGTGTAAGGAACTGCCTTGAGTTCCTGACATAGACAAAAAGTACAGAAATATATACATACTATAAATATATGTAAATTTAAGAAAGCTTAGCATGAGCCACTATCTCAAGCCATATGGTTTCATCATTGCCTCCTCATGTTTAATCTGCTATTACAGCAGGATCCCCATATCCATGGGGGATCAGTTGCAATCCTCCCGCATGTGCTGAAAAATGTGGATTATAAATTAACACTATTTTAATAGCAAATGCTACACATAGCAAGGTCTCTGGCTCCCTCTACTGGCCAGTTCTGCTAATGACATTTTAGAAATATATTTCTCTCTAGATAACACTATGCATAGCAAAGTTTCTTGCTCCCTCTAGTGGCCAGTTCTGTTAACTTCACCTTCAGATATATACAATGGTGCCCCGCATAGCGACAATAATCCGTTCTGAAAAAATCGTCGCTATAGGATTCGTCGCTATGCAGGGCAAAAAAGCCCATAGGAATGCATTAAAACACGTTTAATGCGTTCCTCTGGGCAAAAAACTCACAATTCTGCGAAAATCCTCCATGCGGCCGCAATTTTCACTGCCCGGTAAGCGAGGAAAGGGCGCGAAAACACTGCGGGTGGCCATTTTCTTTACCCGGTGGCCATTTTGGAACCGCCGATCAGCTGTTTAAAAAACATCATTATGTGATAATCGGTAAGCGAAACGCTTACCAATCATCGCAAAATGATGTTTTCCCATCTAAAACATCACAATGCGATCACTTTTACGATCGCAACAAACACATTGCTATACGGATTCGTCGTTAAACGAATCGCTCGTTATGCGGGGCACCACTGTACATCTATATATATTTCCAGGATTTTCTTTTAATATTTTTAAATTTTTGGGGCTGCGGACAAGTGAATCAGTGGATACTGATCCCACAGATAAGGGGGTCCTACTTTATTGTGCCAGTGTTCTTTTGTTAGGATAGCCTTTAATGCGGCTTAATTCAACAGCTGCCTTCCAGGTGTGCTGGATTCCAGCTCTCATCATCCCCAGATAAAGGGAGCTGCAACACAACCTTTCAGGTGGGCACCCATTCAGATAATACTGGTCTCATACACCTTGATTTTTTTAAAAAGTTACCTCAAATGCAGCCTCTTTCCCTCATTTACAGTTCAGGCACTGATCTTCTCTAACCCAATCACATCTCCTCTGAGGATCATGACTCCTTGCAAGGTCCTGATGCAAACATCATGTGCTGATCCATATGCGCCCTCCCACCTCTTGGTTACACAGCTAACATGGAGGTGCATACACTGGTCTCAGCGTTTGAAATCTTTTGAAACCTGCACCTCTGTGGTTTCACTGGTGATGCCTTTCCCACCCAGGCAAAGCAGGGCACGATGCTCAGCATCAGGCCACCAGCAGATGCACATTTATCCCAGGGTGGCGCTTACACTGTCAAAGTCCTTCTTCTCTTGCAAAGTCCTCGTGATGTGGTTGCAAGCCTCAATACAGGACTGGATCTCGGGCGCAGCGTGGCGCAGGCTGTTGCAGAAGTCCTGGGGGCATCCCTTCTCCAAACCTTCTCCTGGGAAAAGACACCAGAATGGGGAGAGAGATCATAGATACAGAGGAATCAGCCTGGAGAGAAGAGCTTTCACCCAAGATCTAGACAGCTTATGGACAGTGTTCCAGGGCAGACTCTGTTAGAGTTTTATGTACAACTTAGCACGCTGTCTGTAGTTTAAGTGATTGGGAGAGGCTTTAATGGGCTGGAAGAATTATCTATCAACCCACCACTAACTAATCATTCCTTCCAGCCTTCGAATTCAAAGGGATCCCTGCCTCTCTGCTGAGTGTTCTGTCCCTCTCTTTTCTCCGTTGGTGGGAGTTGTTTGGAGTGCTGTTGATCTGTTTGGTTGGTTGCTGGAATGTGTGCAGTAAAGAAAGCAGGATGCACAAGTCTGTAATTTCTAGGATTTTTCTTTCAATATTTTAAATATTTTCAGACCTGGATAAGTGAATCCGTGGACACTGATCTTGCAGTTACATGGGCCTACCTTATATCTCGAGGACACGCACTGGGTTCACCCCATCCCCATCCACAGGCCACGCGACTCACCGATCTTCGCCAGGAGGAGCTTCATCAGCCCGTCGCGCTCTTTCTGCCTCTCAAAGAGCAGCTCACTCCGGGCCTTCCACAGCATGTACTCGTCCGCCTTGGCCATCAGCCCTAGGGAGCTCTGACGACGAAGCCGGTTGCCAGTGGGCACAGGGTCACGTGGCATGTGCATGCCCAAGTAACCTGGCACCAAGCGGAGGAACACCTGGAGAACGGGGGGAGAAAGAACGTGGCACTTGGCAAGAATTCGTTAGTCCACAGTGCCACGTGGGAACTAGCGTGGCAGGAGAAGGCAGTATTGATGCCATCTGGGTTTCCCTTCCTTGGGCGTATTGGTAAAAAAAAAAGAGAGTTAGCTGTCTGATTGCTCTTGGATCGAAGACAAAAAAGATGGGGAATTTGGGGTGGGGGGGTTTGGACTACAGATCCCATTGGCCTTGTTAGCTGGGCTGTACTGAGAATTATAGCCCCCTCCCCAAAAAAAGAGAGAGAGAGAGTAACTCTTAGTTAGAGAGCCTACTTAATGTGGCTTAGAGATCACTACATCTTTTGTTAAGGAAATTATAGATAACTGGCTCAGAAAGAGGGAGTCGTTCTCCCCCCCCCCGAATAAAATGGAAAACTTTTTTTTAAAAAGGGGTGAAGTCACTCAGGAAACATTGAAAGAGTTCCTCAAATACCCATTTGTTGTCATTAAAAAAAAATTGGAGCATGGTTTGATTTCTAATAAATGTTTCCCCCAACTCTAGAGGAGGATCAGCCTGTGTGTGAAAGAAAGGAACAGTAACATCTGTGTAATAAAGGCTCAGAATGAGACCCATGAAGGTGTCCTGGGATACTTATGTTCTTAAGGTTTGGGTGAGGTTTTCTCTGGAATGAATCTCCCGGAGGTTTACTGGCATTTTATAATATTTGTGGGGTCTGCCGCTTTAAACAGCCCGATGGTCATGTTTTCTCAGGTTTATTATGCCCCTCTGTCAGATTTCCAGGCATGTGAGCAGCCTGTTACCCAGAGCAGTTATATTTTCCTTTCTGCACCCTTTAAAAAGTGTTAACTTTTTTGTTTGGGGGGGCAACAATGCACCACATTCTCCTTCAACTTTTTAACAAAGGATTCCCACTTACACCTCGTGAGGCACAGAGTACAGAAGGGAAAGAAGACAGCACGGTTTGCCTCAGGTGCCAAAATGGCTAGTTACAACTCAAGCCTTTGGGGCTTGCATCGTCTCCTTGGAGATGAAAACAGAATGAGTTCGGTGAAGTTAGGTACAGTGGTGCCCCGCTTAACGATTACCTCGCTTGATGACGAATCTGCTTCATGACGATGTTTTTGCAATCGCAATTGCAATCGCAAAACGATGTATTAAGAAAGATTCATACAAGACACCATTTTTTTTGCTTCCCGACGATCGGTTCCCTGCTTCAGGAACCAATTCTTCGCATGGCGATGATCAAACCAGCTGATCATCGGGTTTTCAAAATGGCCACTGGCTGCTCAAAATGGCTCCCCACTGTGTATATTTCTTTAAAGTCAGTGATGTTCCTGTGTTTCAGGAGACTGCCATGAAGAATGCTAGTTGAAGACATATCGGTAACATGGCGGTTTCCATGTTCCAAAACCATGTCTTCTATGATAGGCAGCTCATGTCCCAACCACAAATTTTAGGGTCATACAGGCTGGATTAAGACCTTTAGAGGCCCTAAGCGCTGAAAAGATTATGGTGCCTTGTATGAATCTAACACAGGACAAGTCCCACAGCTTTTGGGGGGGGGAGGAACCCCATATAATGCACACATTATGATTTAGTGGTATAGCATGTGGCAAAAAAAGAAATATTGTATGCAAAATCATACATACAATCAAATGACCAGCTTCTAGCCAAACCTTGTGCTTTCAAGCTTTGATTAATGCAGATGGATTTTGTCAGAATCTGTAAACTGAGAAGCTCAAACAAGAGCTTAAAACCCCTTTGGGGGCTTTTTAAAATAGTGGCTGTTATTTCTTTGGCTTGCACCTCTAGTGCAGAGGCCATGGGTCTAAAAGGCCAGCAGCTCTTTTTATCTTTGTCAACATGCAACCTCTCAAAATACAGAAGTAATTTTAAAAACAACAACAACACTGAGTGATGATGATTAATCATTTCACTCAAAACACACGTTTTCTCTCTAGGGGAGTCTTTATGCTTTTTAGTTTTTTCCTGGTTCATACTCAAGTGCTTTAGGTAGGTTGGTGGTTTTCTTGCTGTACCTGTATTGAGATAGGGAAGAAGGGTGCCGAGGGCAAGGGAGGGAGATATGTAGTTGTTAAGGAGGGTGCACCATTTGCCCCATAAGGGCAAGGGAGGGAGATATGTAGTTTGTTAAGGAGGGTGCACCATTTGCCCCATAGTCCACGGTAAATCCAGCACTGGGAAAAAACACTATGGTGCCCCCTTCACTTGTTGATGGCTTCAGCAAACGCTTAATGGTTAATCTGGGGGCTGATCTCTCTCTCTCTCTCTCTCTCTCTCTCTCTCTCTCTCTCTCTCTCTCTCTCTCTCTCTCTCTCTCTCTCTCTCTCTCTCTCTCTCTCTCTCTCTCTCTCTCTCTCTCTCTCTCTCTCTCTCTCTCTCTCACACACACACACACAGAGAGAGAGAGAGCACCAAATTCACAAGCCCCTCCAGCTCTTGACCTACCTGCCGGACCCGTCTGGACATAGAGTGGGTGTTGGGTGTTCTCAGAGAAACATTGAGTACGATAACAGCATTCACAACTATAGTGATGGTGACCACCAGCAGAAAGGTTAAGTATCTTTGGAATGAAAAACAAAACAAAAAACAACACCACTGTCAGTCCAATGCAGTAGCCAGATGCAATATATCCATCAACTAAGTGAATGGATGTACAGTAAATCCCTGTTGTTGTTTTTTTAAAAAAGGAACAAAGTCACTCATCTTTCTGGAAAATTGGCACCATGTTGGAAGACCAGAAAAAGGCCAGTCTCATACTTTGTCTCCCAATGCATCTCAAAAACATAAGCTCTTTTGCACAGGGAGTGGTTTGTCCACTTGGAACGGAAAGTCAAGGGTTAGGAATCTAACACTGGAAAGGTAAAGCCATTTGAAGTTTCAAGTGTTAGGCTTTTAATGCTGGGATGGGATCAGAGAAACGCATCAAAAGATACCAAAGAAATATCTATTCTGTCTTAGCATGCTGATCCGCCAAAGCTCAGCCTGAAACAAACTGGTTGGTCTTTAAAGTGCCACAATAGGTTGTCCTTGTTCTTTTTCTTTTTTCCCTTTAATTTTGACAGCTTTCAAAGGTGCAGCAAGCCAAGGGTTACTTTGTCAATTTTAAAGCAGTTAGCCCGTGTAACTGCTAGGGCAGACCCTAATTAATAGCTCCCCCTTATCACAACAATACACCCGTAACAAAAAACAAAAAAACAAAAAACAGCCTGATCACCATAATCACCTATCTCCTGAAAAGGACAAAAAGCTGATCCCACAGCTACAAATACTTAACCATCCCACACACAACACCAGAACACAGACAGAGTTCTGACTCCAGCCCTCTGAAGATGCCGGCCACAGAGACTGGTGAAACGTTAGGAAGAAAAACCTTTGGAATACAGCCAAACAGCCTGTAAAACCTACAACAACCAGCTTCAAAAAAACTTCAGCTCTCAGGAGAAAGGCTGAATAATCAAGTGGAACAAAACCAGGTCCCTTCCAGAATTGTTTTTTTTATAGTGTTATAAAGAGAGTAGTATTTACACTGGGAAAAAGTCAGTATATCAATCTCTAAATCTCTAAAGAAATAAAATTCAGCATCTTCTACAGTGGTTGTTTTATTTTCTTAGAAGTTTGGCTTGGGTAACTGCTATTTGCCCAGAGGACTGTGCCAGTAAATTGTTATTTGCAGAAGATCTTCTTAGATATATTATGTTTTTGGACGACTGATAGATCAGTGGTTTAGCTATCTGACTATAGAGCCAGAGGTTGGGAGTTTGATTCCCTGCAGAGCTTCCCAAGAGAAGAGACATCGTCCCAGGGCACCACAGAAGAAGGGCATGATAAACCATTCCTGGAATATCTGCGCAGATAACTCAGTGGGTTGGGGCACGTGGCTATGCTGCCAGATGCTAGGAATTCAATTCCTTCCTGTGCTTTCTGGGTGAAGGGCCAGCCTGTGCAGCCTTGGGCAAGCTTTATAGTCCCAGATCACCCCCTGCCACGGAAAACGGGACTGCTGGTAAACCAGTTCTGATTACTCTATAGCCAGGAGGCCATGGGAACAGTCACTATAACTTGGATCAGAACTAGTAAATCTACCCCAAAAAGACATGAAATAGATCACCATCCACTGTTCTCTTTAGCTCTGTTGGGAGCTGCTTACTTTCCAATCAGTGGAACAGCCTGCGATGTTTCTGGAACTTTTTTAGCGATCAGAAAGAGGAAGACCGTCTGGGCTAAGAGGACATTAATGGAAACGGTACACTTCTGGCCTCCAGCTGCAGAGATAAGAAAAGCAAAAGAGCAATATAAGAAGGGGGTCTTGGCATCAGAGCTTGTAAAAGTTCCCTTTTCAGCTACAGTGCCCAGGGACCCTTTGTCAGTATGGCTGTGCTTTGGTGGAGGGATGGGGGAGGGATTCTGGGAATTGTCCTCCAAAAACAGAGAATTGTTCCAGGGCTTGACATGAAAAGGGAGAATTCTGTCTCGCTTTGCCCTGCTCTTAGGCAAGATCTGAGCCCAAGCATGGGAAGGCCAGGTTGCTCTGAAAACAGGGGCCCAGGACTGGTTCCACATTGAATCAGAAGAGTTCGTGAGAAAAAGCAAAGACTAGGTCTTGTCTATCAAACCATCAGTCGTTCCTGGATTACCACACAAGAGGGATTATGTATCATAGGGGTGTGCTGTTCGTGTCCCTCTGAGACTAAATCCCAGAATTCTCCAGGCACAATCTGGGAGTTCCACCCCACAGACATGTACCTGCAGACCCCTTCCTTTCACTCACCCGGATGATGAATCCTTCTAAGCCTTATTTCCTCCTCCATTGTTTCCTGGGAGAAAGCGGCTTCAGTGCTTCCAGAGGAGTTGTTCTAATCAAGAGATGACCTCTATAAAAGAACAACGAGGAAGCACTGCAGCAGCTTCTTGCCAAGAAGCACTGGGGGAGGAAATAAGGCCTAGAAGGAGTCCTCCTCGGCCTTTTTCCAGGTGAGTGAAAGGATGATTTCTCTAGATGTGTGTTCGTGTGCCTAGGGCTGTCTTGGAAAATTCTGGGAGTTGAAATCCACGAAAAACAAACAAACAAACGAAAAAACATGACACACTCCTAGTTTGTTAACCTGGATCTGGGGAGAAACTGAATCTGTCCTGCCACCCCAGCTGTTTCCCACGCTCTCTCCTGTTTACAGAGAAACAGGCTGTGGCTTCTCCATCAAAATATTAAAACGGTCAGTGGTCACATCACTGAAAACAGCTGCAGGAAGTTCTGAAAATTCAGCGAGAAAATCTTGAAATAATGCGTGCTAAGGCACATAGATAAAGCATGAAGCTGCTATGGGGAAAACACGTACACTTAATTTCCTCCCATTTCAGCAGGCAGGCTATGCATTAAGATTCTTCTCTCTTTTTTTCTTTTTCTTTTTAAGCATGCAGTTGGGGGAAAAATGCAGTTTAAAAGAATGTGTAGTTGGGAAAAATGTGCAGTTGGAAACTGAAAATACAATGCTCTGGGAGTGAAGTTTTGTGGCTTATTTATCATTTTTGAATTGCACTTTTAAAAAATTGCATAGCATTTCCCCCTCCAACTGCATGTTTTGTATCCAAAGACTAGCTAAAAGGAACACAGCTATATATCACATAAGCACTGTCATTGGGAGGTGAAATCTCATTAGGGTTTTAGCCATGGGATTTGGGCAGACCTTTGTGAGACTAGCCAGTCATACTTAGGAATGAAGTCTGGGCTCACCTTTAGACCGCCAATTGCAAAACAAAGCAAGCTGGTTTGCAAACTGCAAAGGTATGGAAATGTTTTCAGCAACTTGTTCTTCTACGGATGGGTGATTTTTAACACACAGTTTGATCTTCAGGCAACGGAACTCCACAATGATGATTCCTGCAACACTCACCTTTGGCAGGCAGAAAGTACACCAGCACAGCGACAGACGAAATGAGCACACACGGGATGATGATGTTGATGATGTAGAAGAGGGGCTTCCTCTGGATGATGAGGAAGAAGATGATCTGCTGGTACTCAATATCATCTGGTGTGAAGCGTTCTGCGTTCACTAACTTCTTGGCGGGCAAATGCTTGATTGTCCATTCCCCATTTTCTGCGGAAAGAAGAAAGCCCATAGGGGCATCAAAGAGGCCTGATCATAGAAACCATTCCCCACTGGGCTTCCTGCCAGGAGAGCCAGCCTGTGTGGCCTTGGGCAAGCTGCACAGACCCAGGGAACCCTCCCATAAGAAGGGAATGGGAAACCACTTCAGAGCGCTCTCTCTGAGTTGGTGGGCACTCCAACACTGGAGGCATTCGAGAAAAACTTGGATAATTACCTGGCAGACATACTTTGATTGTACAGTGGGGTCTCTACTTAAGAACTTAATCCGTATTGGAAGAAACCACTTCAGAGCGCTCTCTCTGAGTTGGTGGGCACTCCAACACTGGAGGCATTCGAGAAAAACTTGGATAATTACCTGGCAGACATGCTTTATTGTATTCCTGCCTTGAGCAGGGGGTTGGACTGGATGGCCTCGTAGGCCCCCTTCCAACGTCACTTTCCTATGATTTCTATGAAAGCTTTCTTGTGATAGGATCAGGAGTGGCCAAAAGGCCTCCTTCCTCATAAGTTGAATGAACCCAAATGTCTTTGCCACATCGTGTGCTAAACAAAGCTTCCATGTTCAGGAGCAGTGAATCTGGGTTTGGAAAAATAAAAATTCTGGGGACCCTAACTGCCAGAATCCCTCCGACAGCATTGCCACTGGCCTTCCAAAAAGTTTTCTTGTGATAGGATCAGGAGTGGCCAAAAGGCCTCCTTCCTCATAAGTTGAATGAACCCAAATGTCTTTGCCACATCGTGTGCTAAACAAAGCTTCCATGTTCAGGAGCAGTGAATCTGGGTTTGGAAAAATAAAAATTCTGGGGACCCTAACTGCCAGAATCCCTCCGACAGCATTGCCACTGGCCTTCCAAACTGCAAGGTGAAGTCCAGAAAAGTAACTCTCCCAAGTTCTGATCTGAATACCAGATGCAAGGGGGGGGGATGAAAAAGTAGGGAAGGCAAAGGATGACCCTTTCAAGACATGGCAAGCTTTGAAGAGTCATCTTGTTGGTTCACTATCACAGCAATCCTAGATTAGGGGGTGGCCACATCTGTAGTTTTTTAAATCTTTCTGGCAGGGGGGAGGAATTCTTCCAAGTTTTGAGAGCCCCAAGGAACATGCCCCCCCCCACATGGCCCTCAGATTAGCTGGTGGCCAATCCGAAAAATGGTCCCCCAACCCATAAAGGTCACCTGCTTCCTCAAATCAACCTTTCTTCCAGTGACCACACTTACACTCCTGGCGTCTGCATGGTTGCATCCTATTGTGCGTGTATTTACCCGTGAAAGCTTCCGGGTCAATAAAAATCCATTCAATGGTCTGTCCCTCTTCCACCGTCAAAAGGAGGTTGATCTCATGGGCGTTGTAGGTCTTCGACCTTGTAAACAGAATCAACCCATTAAAAAATGCCAAAGGAAGTTTGTGTTCAAGGTGGCTTTCAGTGGTTGGGCTTTGCTCCTTCCCCACTGGTAACAAGGCTTGCCGCCTGACCACAACGGTGATTGTAGGTATGTTGCTCCAACTGGCAAGACCAGTGCAAAGGCATGCGCCCCCCATTCCACCCAGTCTCGGTCTCTTTCCCTCCCCTTGCTCGTGGCGTTTGATGCGGCAGCACCAAACGGGGCCATTTGGAGCAAGGCAGAGAGGAAGCATCGATAGACTCAAACAAGCTGCAAACAAGGCTAATTTCCTCCCCTCTTTCTGACTCCAGAGTGGTTGGCTACAGCGAGTACAAGGTTGATGGACTCCTGTGGGGTCTGCTACAGTTAATGAGAGAAATCTGATTTCTGGAGTGCCACATTACAGCAGATCCGTTTGCATTTTTCCCTGCCGTGTAGTGGCAACCCTTAGTGTTCTGATGTTAAGCTCTCCAACGACTATGAAAAGCTAAAGCAATACTTCACTCACACAGACATGAACTGGGAATCCCAGTGGGAGGATGAAAGTCTCAAAAATATTGACCGTCCTTGCTATTGCTCTTTGCAATTCATCCTTTCCTGTCTGGCTGGCGAAGGCAATAAGAAAGAACAAACACTCACTGGAACACCATGGAGCAATTTTGCCAGTCAAACGGAAAGTAGGTGACGATGATGGGGCACACGCTGCGGTAGATGGCCGGGGGAAGCCAGCTGACGTTGCCACTCGGAGAAACTAAAACGTTGGCGTACAAAGCGACGTCAAAAACCCCATCGATGCTGTAGGGACAAAGGGAGAACTCAGTTCGCGGCATCAGTGTCCTCCGGGCCTGCATCCTTGAGCCAAATCATGACAGAAGAGATGCCAGTCCCTCTGTCCCGGAGGACGATGTCTGTATTGCTGTTTGCATTCTGGCAGGTCAGCTTAGAAGATATTTCCCCACATCTTGGTAACTTGTCTCACTCGCTTGAGTGATCTAATTGTTCTCAATCAGGTATTTTTCGAAAGATTACCATAGGACTCCATGGATACCATGGAGGATCTCTTCCAAGCCCCTACCCTGCAGATGCTACCAAAAAAAAAATGCAGATTATAGCAAACACTTTTTAAAATAAATAAATAATAAAATAGCCAACACTGTACATAGCATGCTCTCTGTCTCCTTCTAGTGGCCAGTTCTGGGCCAACACTGTACATCGCATGCTCTATGTCTCCTTCTAGTGGCCAGTTCTGGTAATGGCATGGTGGAAGTATATTTCTCTAGGGCAGTGGTGCCTCCTACCTTTTTTGCACTGCAAACCGGTTTAGCGTGCGGAGGGGGGGCGTGCATGTGTGAGTTGGATGTTTGTGCATCTGTGTGCATGTGGTGGGGCTGTGCGTGCCTCCGACTGTGCATGGGTGGGGTGTCCATGCATCTGTGCATGCCTGAGGGGTAGCACATGTGTGTCCATGCATGCATGGGCAGGGTATGTGTGCATCCGTGCATGGTGGTGTGTGTGTGAGTGCGTGGGGGGCGTGGGGATGTCTGTGAGTGCAGGGGGGGCGGTAGATCTGTCTCTGCGGCCCGGTCCTGCCAAGGCCACAGCCTAGCACCATGGTCTCTGGCTCCCTCTCGTGGCCGGTTCTGGTAACTTCATCTTTAAAAATATATTTCTAGGATTATTCTCTTAATATTTTTAATATTTTCAAACCATGGATAAGTGAATCAGTAGATACTGATCCCCTGGATAAGGTGGATTAACACATCTGTCAACCCTGTAGGCCTGGAGAGCACAGACCAGCGCTTGGAAGAGAGAGAGGAAGAGAGAGAGAGAGAGTTCGGACTAAATTCCCGTGAGTTTCCCAGTAGCTCTAGTTGGGAGCGTCTGCCCACTGCAGTCCAAAAAAGGAACTTCTCCAAGCTCTGGAAGAGACCCAGCGATGTTCTTCAAACTCTTCAAACTTGGCTCCCATTCTGAACTCCCACGGCCTTCGACATGGCTACACGCTCAACGTGTCCACCTCTACGGCGTTGGGTTCGTCTTCCCAATTCCCATAGGAGCACATATGTTGCTATGTCAGTATTTATAGACCCTCTATTTTTAACTCTGCTTCCAGAATGTCGCTGACAAGCATCCTCTCAGCTCAAGTAAAGGGCTCAAAACCCAAAAGCAGCAACCAAATTTCAGCGAGTGAGCCAACAAGAAAACAGGGCCCGTTCAGGATCTCCTGCTGTCCAAAGCAAAGAAAAAATGGAGTCCTCTTCCCATTATTGGACCAGTCGAACCATCCAAGAGTGAATCTCTCCCCAACGGTGGTGATGGGAAGAATCTTCTAGCACAGGGTTTCCCAACCTTGGGTCCTCAGATGTTCGTGGACTAAAATTCCCAGAAGCCTTCACGCCCTTCCTGTGTTGGCCAAAATTTCTGGGAGTTGTAGACCAAGAACATCTGGGGATGTTCATGGTTGAGAACCACAGGTCTAGCACATCTGTAGACAGCTGGCTAGAATCCAGGCCAAGCTAAATGGGGACCCAACGTCCTCAAGCAATCACATCACGCTGCCTCACAAGAGGGCCGGCCCTACCAAGGGGCAGAATTGGTCACAACTTCTGCTAACGAAGAGACAACCCAAACTCCCTCGTCACCAGCTGATGGGCACGAAGGAGGAAGAATCAACCCTCTTGATGGATACTTACTTGTTCTCCAGAACGATGTCTGGCAGCCACACCATGGTGGAGGGAATCCGTAAGCACCTGATGTCATACTCGGCCGGGTCCCACCGCAGTCGGTAATCATACCATTTCTGGCAACAAGCAAGTGACCTAATGAGTATTCAGAAAACTGTTCTGTGGTTTCTGGAAACGACAGACCGCCTTGGTGACATTAGGTCCTCCTGACTCATTTTGAATCGGGGACAAGAAGAGTTCCAGCTGCCTCCAGCCCAGAAGCCCAAAAAGGCTCGGCTAATTCTCAAAGTCCTTAGATTTCATGTTTCTTGCTTCTTTTAAAGGAAAAGCAAGCTGCTAGACCTCAGTTTCTAAACTTCATGGGTTGTTGCTCATGCTGTGATCGTTCTAGAAGGCTATACTTCTGGCGGACTCTCTCCTATGGCCTAGATAGGAACATCTTGCTGGTTTGAGGTATTAACTGAAGGGAGATATAGTCTAAAAATTCTATTTCAACTGTTCATTACATACAGCAATGCTCAAGGGGGCTTATGGATACAATAAAAGCCATGTTTTAAAACATACAAACAAAAATTATAAACTACAAATTTAAAAAATAAAAAAAGAGTACCAAGTAGATTAAGGGTGATATTGGCCCTCAATATGTTTCAGACTTCAGTTCCCAGAAGCCTCAGCTACCTTCCTCTGTGGTTAAGGCTTATGGGAGTTGTAGTCTAAACAATGGAGGCATGGGAAGATCCCCCACTTCTGGATTTAATAAGTACTTTGACATTATTATTTTTCAAGGCTGACCACAGTTCGAGTGTTGGCTGAAGAGTCTTGTCTTCCTCTGAAATTGTTAATAAACTAACCTCTTAGAATGGAAATTCAAAATGAAACAACCAAAATAGTACAGTCATCAGTACATCACACCACATCTGTGACGCTAAGCCCGTATATTCATTAAACAACAATGCCATCAAGGGGCAAAGATAAATTAAAGTAAGAGGGAGCTGATACAAGGAGTGTCAAAATTTCCCCTCCAACTTTGCCAAAGATGGTTTTTATCTCAAACTGGGAGGAGATCACGAGTGGGGTACCCCAAAGGTTCAGTCCTGGGTCCAGTGCTCTTCAATATTTTTATTAATGATCTGGATCAGGGGGTACAGGGGGTGCTAATCAGATTTGCAGATGACACAAAATTGGGTGGAATAGCTAATACCCTAGAAGACAGAAGCAAAATTCAAAATGATATTGAAACGCTTGAGCATGGGACCGAAAATAACAGAACGGAATTCAGCAGGGATAAGTGCAAAGTTCGACGCCTTGGGGAGGAAAAACAAGGCACCATTATTAGATGGAGAATATTTGGCTCAGTAATGTTACAAGCAAGAAGGATCTTGGAATTGTGGTGGATCAACTTGAGCCAAGAGCGTGCTGTGGCTGCAGAAAAGGCAAATGTGATTTAAGGATGCATTAACAGAACTATGGTTCCTAAATCTCATGAAGTACCTGTTCCCCTCAATTCGGCACTGGTTAGATGCCATTTGGAGTCCCATATCCAGTTCTGGACTCTGCACTTCAAGAAAGAAGCTGACAAATTGGGAGGACTTCAGAGGAGAACGATAAGGATGATCAGACACCAAGATACCAAGCCCTCTGAGGAAAGACTGGAAGAACCAGGCATGTTTAGTCTTGAGAAAAGAAGACTGAGGGGAGATAGGAGAGCACTTTTCAAATCCTTGAAAGGTGGTCCTACAGAAGAGGGACAGGATCTGTTCTCAATCATCCCAGAGTGCAGGACATGTAAACCAGATTTTGGGTGAATATCAGGAAAAAACTTCCTAACTGTTAGAGCAGTACACCAATGGAATCAATGACCTCGGGAGGTGGTGAGCGCTCCAATGCAGGAGGCATTCAAGAGAAAATTAGACAACACGTTGTCAGATCTGCTTCGATTTGGACTCCTGCACCGGGTTGGGCTCGATGGCCTTTATGAGGCCCCTTCCAACTCCATGATTCTAGGACAGCTGCGTGGTTCAACATGATCTCTTTTTTTTGGGGGGGGGGTTTCTTTTGGGGGAAAGGTAGAAGCCAACTAAACTACCGATGATGGAAGGTTGTGGGGAAGGCCAGTCTCGCCTGTTGACTTGGGCAGGAAAACATCTCATGCAGAAGAACTAGCTCAAATCCTCACCCATGAAATGTGTAATATTAGGGGCAAACATTTTGAACAGCCTACCCAGTAGTAATTTGCAAACATAAAAAGACAGCCATTTTTCAAACAACGCCACCCCTGATTTCTTACCAGCTCCACCCAGACGTTGGTCGTGAGGGCTTCGTCTCTCTCGTTCTGGGAAAGAAGAGAAAAGGGTGAGTCAGGTAGATGTAGGCTCTCAGTCGAACTTGCCTCCAACTTCTTCCTTAATTTCTCAAATAAAGCCAAAAACACACCTTACAAAGGCCGTAGTGGAAGGACGTTGTCGTGGTAGAATAGAAGCCTAACTGACCAAGATGGCTGAGGTCTGGCCATTGGAGGCTAGGCTGAATGCAAGCCCTTTCCAGCCGTGGGAAGTGGGGAATTTCTCAGGATTACTGTGACGCTTCCCAAACTTTGCACCAGCATAGCAGCTGTGAATCTGGGCTGAGAGAGGTCTGGATCCGGTGAAGCTCAGCTCCTCCCTTGCTCCGAGGCCAGATATCTGGAGGTGCAGCATCTACACAACCAGCCACCCCCCTCCAGATGTCTTGGATTGCAACTCACTGCAGTTCTCAGTGTTTGCATGTAACTATTTTTCTGGTTTTGTGATGCTTTGTTGTGAAACGGCATATATATTGTATAATGAGGCTACTGATGTAAAGAGGCACGCCTCCACCCACCCACCCCCACCACCAGGCAGAGTTTGGGCAGCATAATTCCCTGGGGTGGGAATTATTATCATTGTCAACACTGGAAAGAACTGGAAAGGACTCTATGGATCATCGGGTCCACCCCTTGTCAAGGAGGTGACCCGGGGGGGGGGCGGGGAATCAAACTCCCAACTTCTGGCTCTGCAGTCAGATGCCCAAACCACAGAGCTATCCGGAAGCAGAAGCAGGAAGGAAGTGTTGGGACTTGTGACTGGAGAATTTCTGATGGTGCATCTGTTCCTAGAAATTAGAAGATGCAAAGAGAACGTGTAAACCGTGATCAGTTTCTGCGCTCCGTTTTGGTGATTTGTAATTAGCCACTTTAGGTTCTCGCCGACGACGCCCCCGAGCTGCCACACGCCCACGTTATCTCCTCAGAGATCAGGAAAAAAAAACTGGGCCGATTTAAATGATGAGGTTGAAAAAGTTTATGTTGAAAACCTCAAAATCTCAAAACTGTTGTGTTTAAAAGCCTCCAAATCCTGGGTGAGACCTTCTGAAGCCGAGCCTCTCAGCCCCACGGAGGATGATAAAGCCATAGCAGCCTTCGAGGGAAGACTAAAGACACCCCAGCTTTACTTACCAGCGAGATGAGGTTGGTGAGGGTTAGCTTGACTGAAACGTCGACAACATCCCCCTTGTCCACAGCTGGGCGAAAGTTGCGGTTATAATTTGTCATCAGGTCATTGAGTAGCTTCTCCTCTTGATTCCTGCCCAAGACCACTGGAGAAGGAAGGCAGACAGAGACACTCTGAAGAAGTAGCAACTTGGGATGCAAACAGCCAGGCATAAGAGGTGGGACCTGCTGGAGCTTTAACAACCTCGCATGCTGCCTTTAGTAGCTTTGCCTGGGAGGGACCTTTCTGGGTTGGGGGTGCTTGTCAATCTATCTAGCAGTAGCCAATCATTCTCCCCTGCCTCTGAATTCAAAGAGAGTCCTGCCTCTCTGCTCTGTTTCTTTTTCCCTTCTCTGGAGTCTGTTGAAGGTCTGTGGTTGAAAGCAGTCATATATGTCAATCTGCTGTTGATCTGTTCAACTGTAAGTAATAAAATGTTTAAATCCTTTCTCCTCCTAATGTCTCAGAGTTAGAGACAGGGGCTTCATATTCATATACAAATAGCTTGGCTGTTGCAGCCCTGCCTCCCTGCTCACCCAGCCACTCCAGAAAGGGGACGGGAGGAAGAGTCTCCCCCGCAGGGAGGCTGGGCTGGGGCAGCGAAGCTAATGCTACGACGGGCACACTGGCAATGATGCTGGCCATGTGTGCCATGCACTGTGCAGTAAGTGCTCAGGCGGGGTCTGGGAGTTATCAGGCTGGCCCCCTGTGCCCGGGGGCTTTGTGTTTGCATGCATCTCTACTCAGAGTTAGTTTCTAAGACTCGCCGATGAACAGAGCTCAGAAGTAACTAACTTACATTGTGTTTGTTGCAGCAGGAAACCACAAGGCACACCTTGAAGGTGAACACAATTTATGTGGTGTATGTTTCCATACACTGCTGCCCACTTCTTCCACTACAAGAGCATAGCGTAGCAGACGGATGGTACTAATCGCAAGCCACCTGTAACTGATTCCTACTTTGAGTAATGAAGTTAATGATTTCATATTTGCCAATTTATGAGGAACGACTGCACGGCTTTTGCGATGCAACTGGAATTGTTTAAACTTGTTACATGCCATCAAGTCACTTCCTGTGTATTTTGACTCTATGAATTAACGACTTCCAAAGGCCCTGTCATTAACAAAATTGCTCGGGTTTTCCAAGCTAAAGATATCAGGGTGCTTTACTGAGCCATTCCATCCCATGTTAAGACATCCTCTTTTCCTACTGCTTTTCTTTATTTTTATTCTGATCAGATAATGTATTCTCTTGTAGATCTTTCAGCATCCCGTGTCTTCATTTAAATTTCACTTTGATTTTTTTTGATCTAGTGGAGGATAGTTTTCTTTCTCCTATTTTATTGTTTTCTTCTATTCCTTCACAGTCCTTATTTATAACAGTTCTCTTTGTCCCTGTATACCAGTTGCTAAAAAGTTACATTTAGTTTTTTAACTTTTTAATTTCTGATACTACTTCTTTTTGTTTCTCATCTGTAATTAATAATTCTAAGATTTCCATCATTCTTCTATTGAGATTTTTCTCTTCTTTTGACCACAGGGATGGTCTTTTCAGTTTCTTTCTTTCACATCTTTGGCTTCAGCCCACAATTATTCTGGCTCATGGTAAATAGAGTTTGATAATGCAAATCTGTTCCTTATATGGTCTTTCAGTTTTTCAGAAATGTAGTCTAAATTAAATTTTGGCACCATGGTTGCTTTAGTGTTCTTCTTCAGCTTTACTCTAACGTTCTAAGTTGTTTTGAGAGCCAGCCACATCCCCTGGCCTTCACCCCCTACGAATTAATTTTTAAACATGACCACAAGAAGGAGCAAGGTGAGAGGGGTTCAGAGAAGGAAGAAAGAATTGAAGGGCACTGATGATGTGAATAAGTGCAGTTGTCCAAGGTTTAGGGATGTGCGTGTACAGCCCCCGAACCTCTGAAGTTCAGCCGTCCTTTCAACAAAATTTGACCTTGATGTCATGCTCTTCCTTTATTAGTGAATTTCTTAACTTTAAAAAAATCCCATTAACTCCGATATACTTTCATTTCTCAGCTCTCTCTGAGCTGAAATATTTAAATGAGGATTTAATTAGACAGGCAGCATGTGCTCCCCGGATTCTAACTGATTAATAACAAATAGCTTACCCAGCTCTGGCTTAAATCCATCCCTGTTTAGTGCACAGATTGTTAGCTTACTAATGATTTTCTAAATCCTCAATATTATCAAATTATTAGCAAACAGCAACCGCCCAATAAAGTTTTCAAGTGAGTGGGAGACGTGCCGGCAAATTGCCCTCATTAGGCTAATCGCAGCTACTTAATTGAGAAGTGCAGAGGGCCAGGCGGGCTTGGGAGGAGGGTGGCGGCTGGGGCTGTATGAACTTTGGTGACAGGGTGCACCTGAACGTCATCTGGAATCGCACAGCGCTGGCTAAAGCGGACATCGTCAGCCAGACGGCCTTCCTTAAAAAGTCACAATCATTTTAAGGTCATTAGGGTCTGTCTACCATAGAGGGTTTTAACGGTCATGCCCTTTATGCAAAGAATTCCAGGAATCATGGGTTTCCTAGAGCTGTTAAAGGAATTCTGGGAGTTGTAGTCCCCAAAGACAAAACTGTGCATCTATAACTTCATGCCTCAGTTGCCCAGCAAGAAAGAACAGCAACGTTTGACTCAGCCAACGGGTGTCATGGGCAAAGAGTTCAGGCCCAGCTCCCATAAGGGAAGCTGGTCCACTGCCTACGAAGACAGCGGTGGTGGAGGAAGAGGAGGTGGCAACCCACGTTAGGGAGGAAATGGGGCCAGTGGGAACAGGACAGTCAGCTGCAGGGAGTCATTCGTTTCCCCCCAGGCACAAATGTTTTTTAAAAACGAACTGGTTTGTGGTTCGCTTTTTTTTAAAGTTCGGAATGTTCGTGGGTCGCCACAAATCACGAACCACCACGAACCGCCATTTTTTCCGGTTCATGCCCATCACTAGTCGTAAACCAGGCAGGACGATTTGTCCTCGCAGTACGGTTGTCTGCACGTTCCCTTGAGCGACAGAGCAGGAGAAAGCCTTTTGCAGGGGTTTGAAAGAGATTTGTCAGGCCGTGTGATGGCGTTAGGTTTCACATAGTGCCTGTGGATTGACAGGAGAGGCAGAAAAGTCTGGCCTTCCATCCCAGTGATCTTGTGTGAGCTACTACGTACCAGATTCCTAATTTTTTTTAAATTATTTTATTTTTTGCTGCAGGAGAAGCGGCCAGAAGAAGCCACCTTCGCCCCCAGGCATGCACTGTAGGGAGAAGGAGCAGCCACGCTCTACTGAGAGGACCACAGAACGAAAGGCGCCCCCTTGGCACCGGCGCCTCCCCCCCTTCAAAACCCTCGAGACAGTTATATCCTAACATGACGTCCCCACGGTCTGGAATGTTGATCCTCCTCCTCCTCCCCTCTTTGGGGCTTTGGAACAACATTTTCCTGGCTGGCTTCAGCTTTTTTCTGGAACTGAAACATCTCTCGTTTCCTTGCAGCATAACAACAGCTGGGCCGATGGTAGCCACACCAGTATTGGTGTAGGAGAAACGGTCGGGGTCGAGAAAGGAATCAAAAGCCAACTTTGCCCATCCGTCAAAAGGCAGACGCGCTTTTCTGCTCGCTGCGTTAAGCCCTATTCTGTACCTCAATAGGCTTTTTGGTTGGTTGGTTGATGGCCTGCTTGCTTTCTCGCAGAATTCTACATCCAAACATCTTTGGTTTTGTGTGTTTCGCGCGACAAAACAGTCAAGAAAATAATGTTTCCACACATCTCGGCACATACAGAGCAGTATTGTACCAACAGAATGCAGAGGATTGTAAACTTTACAGTAGCGTGACAGTGAACGGTGCAATCTGGCAGGACGTGCAGGGTGCAATCCCCTTTATCGGCCAAAATCTTATTAAAGGGATTTTATTTCTCTCTTATGAATGAATGGCTCGGGCGTTACATTTCACGGATTGTATCTTTGAGGTAAACCGCCTAGTACTGATCAGGCAGTATACAAGTTTTACAAACAAAGAAAGAAAGACGTAATCTTGCGCCCTCAAGTCAATTCTGACTTATGGCGACCTTTTTCAGAGTTTTCCAGGTAGAGAAGATTCAGAAGTGGTTTATCATTCCCAGGTCTGAGACCGTGCAGCCGGCCCAAGGCTACACAGGCTGGCTTTACCTGCTGGAGGCCCAGTGGGGGAATCGAACTCCCAACTTCTCTGGCTTCGCAGCCAGAGATCTAAACCCCACGGAGCTCTCCAGAGATGTTTTTGACTTCCTGTCTGACAACAATTTGCCGACAAAGGTTCCACCCTTCAGTTTTCACCAGTGGTAAGATTTGGGCCATTAATCCATCCGCCTGGCCTGTTCTTGTTGAAAAAGCTGTCTTGAATTTCTCATACACACAAAAAGGCGAAACCAGAAAGAGATACCCAGTCAAGCATTTTCTTTCCAAGGCTCTGTCTCCTCCGTTCCTTTTCCAGTTTTTTGTTGCTATAAAGGAGTAACCAATTCTTCACTATTTATTTTGAGGTGGTTGTATTTTCCCCATCAATGATGAGGGGAAACAACTTGTGGCATTTTCTGCCTCGTGCGTCGAAAGAACTCGGCTACATCTGGCCCATAACACCCCTTGATCTGAAGGCTGTCCTTTCCTGTTCTGCCTCAGGCAGCTAGTTTCCTTGGGTCAACGCATGTTACCCTCACATCCGGACTCCGGGAGTTGCAAGAATTAGGCTCCCCAATCTGGCCTTGTTTTGTACAGAGGAAGCAAACGTGGCTACCCCTCCACCTCTAGTGTGGTTCTGAACTATGAACCAGGCAGACCTTGATTCGAATCTTACTTCTCCCACATATTTGTTCTGTGACTTCGTATCAACGAACTGTTGTTCTCTGAGTCCCGATGCGTGGAGGCAAGGAGCTCAGCAGGACTACAGTTCCCATAAGGATTATGGGACTACAGTTACCATAATCCTTCCCCTGCCCAGCTTGCATGGCTGGTGGTTATGGAGGCCAGGGAATTCTGGAATGTGTAGTCCAAAATGCACCTTTTGGTAATAATGGCAGTGGGCTCCGACACAACGTTGTTACAGAGTTTTTTCTATGCAGCATGTTGGAAAGACAAGAACATGCCATTTTAAAAACCTTTTCCACAGGAAAATCACACCTTAAATGATTGCTGTTAAGGAAATTAGGATAAGAATAATGCAGCCTACAGCCATATTATTATCAAAACCCAGACCCAACCCAAAGCATCCTGGAATAATAGGTGTATTAGACATCATCCATCTGTTTCCAAGCGATGCAATTTCCTGAATTAATAATGAATGATCGCGTGGTGGCCACGACCAGCCACCCAACGCGCCGTTCCCTTTAAACTCCACAAGCCGGCAATACATGTCTCCCTTGAATTGCACAGGTTTGAAGAGCACAGTTTTTGGTGATGCATGGATGTTTTCAATAAACAAACAAACATTCCAGTCAATCAATCAATGTTCAATAAATATATGTTCAATGACAGCTGTGCCCCTGCCCACGCAGAAGCCAATGAGTTCGAAACTGGTGTCAAAGAGGTTAAGGTAAAGGTTCCCCTTGACATTTAGCCAGTCGTGTCCGACTCTAGGGTGTGGCGCTCACGCCTGTCTCCAACCCGTAGAGCCAGCTTTGTTTGAAGACAGTTTCCCGTGGTCATGTGGCCAGCGCAACTAGACACGGAACGCCGTGACCTTTCCCACCGAGGTGGTACCTATTTATTGACTCGTAGTTTTAAATGCTTTTGAACTCCTAGGTTGGCAGGAGTTGGGACAAGCGACGGTAGCTCCCTCCGTCACGTGGATTCGATCTTACGATAGCTGGCCTTCCGACCTTGCAGCACAGAGGCTTCTGCGGTTTAACCCGCAGCGCCACCACGTCCCTTGCCAAAGTGGTTACTTCCCCCCAAATCCATCTCTAATTCAGCCTCCACATGAGCAGGTCATAAGGGCTTTGAAAATTCATGACGGACAGTCCTCTATGGAAAGGATTGTCCACATTATGGAAGAAAACGCTGACCGAGAGAAGTGTTCTGTTTTCTCTCTCTCTCTCTCTCTCTCTGCTGACCGAGAGAAGTGTTCTGTTTACTCTCTCTCTCTGTGTGTCTGTGTTTGTGTGTGTAAGTGAGTGAATCAACTGCTTCTGCTTTGCAATTAGGTTTGGGGGGGCATAAGAGTTAAATGCAGATTTTGAACTACACGGGGGTCCTGCGCTCCTCCCTCTTTGAAGGGAGACAGTGTGCCCAGCAATCCTGTCCATCGCCTCCTGGCTCCTGCGGGTCCCATGCTGGACTTTGAACGGATCTCAGCTTGGAAAGGGCCCTCCCCTGCCTGCCCACCAACCCAACCCAACCCAAACCATGGATGGTCCGTTCGAACGCGCAGAGCAAAGGACCCGGCTCTTCTCCCAGCCCTGCCGGATCAACCCAGCCTACCTGTAAGGAAGCTGATGGTCAGGACCAAACTAAGCCGACCCATCCTGCTGGTGCGGACAAGACCTTCTGGACCCCAAGCAGCCGAGGCTGCCTGTGTGGCTTGGGAGGGTCGGGAAGGTTATGGTCAGCTGGAACCCCCCCCAGGTCTCCCACCCTCCTCGTTTTCCTCCCTTCCACCCCCAGACACCCCCTTCCTTTCTAGGTCCAGCTGCCCTCCCATTGCATTGTCAGCTGTTTCTTTGGCGATGACAGCCGATGGCCTGGGGAACAATGACAGGTGGACGGGGTTTGGCAGGTGGCAGAACACTCCGCTCCACATACGCCACTGGGCACGTGAACCAAGCACAGCTATTGTTCAGGAGCGTTGGCCAGGGTGGGGTGGAGTTGCTCACATTTCAGGAAAGCGCCGGGAACATCTCGGGGCCTCGACCCAGCGCCACACGAAGCGGATCAGGAGAGCCTCCAGGGGCCCCTATTTATAGGAACACGGAGGACGATGATGACCCTCTTACACAGCTTTCAGGAGACGTTGCTGCCCAGTTTTTAGAGGCCGGCGGTCAGAGATTAGTGCCGAGCGAGACAAACGCCAAAAAAAGACAGAGCCTGTGTTTTGTGATGCTCTTGTTAAGCTGGCATCCTGCCTCAGCGACTGATATTCTGTGCTCCCGCTCTGTAAAGCAGGAGCACGGGGATACCCACAGTTCTCTTACCGCGGCCCTCCTGGAGGGTTCCACTCCAACTCTCTTGGAAAAAAAGACAAAATTATAAACCAAGGAATTGGAGAAGAGGGTTGGACACGACCCAGAGCATCCTGTTGCCCAAATCCATGTAGACCGAGAAATAAACCTGAAGGCCAACATGTGGATTCCACTGCCAACAGCATTGCAGGGTAGAGTAAAATGCCCCTATCCGCAACATCAGTATCCGCTGATTCACTTATCCGCTGAAAATACTAAATAAAAAAACCCCAGAAACATGTATTGATATGCATTTCCAGGATGTATTTACTAGAAATGGCCACTAGAGAGAGCCAGAGATCATGCAATGTACAGTGGGGTCTCGACTTACGAACTTAGATTCGAGTTACGAACTCTTTTTTTCCTTTTTTTTAAAGCTAAGTCATCTTAGGTTAAAAGGAAAAAAGGAAAAAAATATCCCCCTCTAGTGGCAGAAGGCGGAATAGCAGCTTCCCATTAGTTTCTATGGACGAAAAGAGCAGATACGGATTAAATGGTTTTCAATGCATTCCTATGGGAAATGCAGATTCGACTTAAGAACTTTTCGACCTGAGAACTGCCTTCCAATACGGATTAAGTTCGTAAGTCGAGACCCCACTGTATAGTATTCGATACCTCTGTATTTTTTGGCATCCACCGGGGGGAGGATTGGAACCATTTCCTGTGGATACAGCCATCCTACCGTGATGTGTTTTTTTAAAAAAGTAAGGCTGCTTCAGAGGATGCCTAAATAACATATTCTGAAACCTTGAGAATGCCTCCAAAATCTAGGGTTGCCAGATTGGCAGCATCGAAAACCAAGACCCTGATAATGTGTTGGATATATTGCAACCGTACACATGATACCTTTTTGACTGGGATGGACTTTTCTGGACTTGGGGTTGCTGTCAATCAAGTCAATAGCAGCCAATCGTTCCCACTCTACCTCAGATTCTTTTTTCTGCCTTTCAGGGTTTTGTCAGTGTTCATTATGGAGTCTGTCAGAAGCGGACAGTTAGAATGAAGCATTCTGTCAGCTATGTAACCAGTCAGCTGGTTACAACGATGAAGTGAGTTAATCAGTTAAGCTCAGTGACATAACACGTAACCAGGCAGCTGGTTACAATGATGAAGTGAGTTACAGTAATCAGTTAAGCTCAGTGACATAACAAGTTAACATTTCTTTTAAACACAATATGTTTGCATTTTTTTAATCTATGAAGACGTGTAAGTAAACAGAAACATTTTATTCTTTCTCATTACCAGAGTCTCTAAGTGAATTACTGAGATCATAAGTGCCAGTGGAGGTAAATTGAGGGAGACTTGAAGCCAATCTGTTCAGTAAGTTCATTTTATCCGCTGTGTAATCAGTGAAAGAGGTTTTCAGCCACAAACCTTCCACACTCCACCAAGGGAATGAACCCCAAAGCATGAGTCTCCCCTGACAAGCTCTGCTGGTATTGCAATGCTAAACTGTGGGGAAAAAAGAGGCTAGAGCTGAGATTGGAGTTTATATTTATGGAGGATTGGCTGGCAAAGTCCATACCACGCATCAGGTACACCATGACAGTCTAACTTTGATGGATGGATGGATGTCCAGCATTGGTGGCAGGCGTAAAAGTCTTGATCAGTGGTTCCCCGGACATTCTTGGACTGCAAATGTCTCGATCAGTGGTTCCCAGTCTTGGGTCCCCGGACATTCTTGGACTGCAAATCCCAAAAGCCACCACCACTAGCTGTGCTGGCAAAGACTCCTGGGAGCTGTAGTCCAAGAACATCTGGAGACCCACGGTGGGGGACCCTTAGTCTATCATTTGTGCAACCCTTTCCAGCTTAATGCGTCCCTGATTCCTTCTGGTTAGTTTTGTCAGTGAAAACTGCCATTAAAACCTGTATTTTAAAAAATACAGGGGTTGCTTTGAGATCAGGAAGAGCCTCACTATGATCCGCAGACTTAAGAGTCCAGTTCCTAAGCTGGAGCTTCATGGAAAGTAGGACAACAGAGTGAGAGGTCATAAGAGAAAAGGGCTGGATGGGGAAGAGATGAATGGATGAATAAATGAATGGATTCTAGTCTGTCTTCCAACGGTTGAAAATAATAATGCTGGAAAGTCCTTGTGGGTCAACACAATGATTTCTCGACATGTTGTCAAGATACCAGCAACCAGTACCTACAAACGCTAAAATATTCCATTCAGTATTGCTGAGGCTGGTGGCGGTGGTGATGATACTCTCCTGTCATCTTCTCCAGGCTTCCCCTACACCCATCTTCTCTTCTCAGAGATCGAAGGAAGCCCACCAGCTGAAGCTCTCTCTCCCTGGCCCATAGTTGACATTCTAGGCCAGGTGAGGCCTCAGCTGCCGCCTGTGAAATAGGACCTCTGCCCTTAAACCCCCCAGGAATGGCCCTTCCCAGCAAGCCGGGTCTCTGTGGCTTGACCTCTGACTTGCTGACTTCCTTTCCTGGCCCAACAGCTGTTGGCCAGAGACACGGCAAAGCCTTGTGGTTAAAAATAAGCCCATGGAACAGGCTTCCTCTAGGTTGACTCAAGATGGAAGCGCCTCTTGCTTTCCTGGAATTCGGGGCATCTCAGACATCCAGCGAGAGATTACAGAATTGTTCCCATTGGGGGAAGGTGCCATGATGTGGAAGAGATGCTCTGGGGGGATTAGGGCTTCCAAAATCTCCCAGCCAACGTACTCAGTGGAGTGTCCATCGGATGTGACACTTGGGGGGTTGGGGGTTGGACTACAAATCCCAGAGTTCTGCAAGAGTTCCCCAGGCAGAATTCTGGGAGCTGCAGCCCACAAACATCCCCCCACACACATCTTCCTTTCACTCACCTGGAGAAAAGCCTTGTTCTAGGCCTTATGTCCTGCAGCAATGCTTCGTGGGAGGAGGCTGCTTTCATGTTTCTTACTGGCGGCGGTTTTTCAGGAGGTCCCCTTTAGAGAGCATAAGAGCAATGAAAGGACGAACCCTCCCCGCCCCCAGGAAGCATTGCAGCTGGAAATTAGGGCTTCAAAGGCTGCCTTGAAAGAGGCCTCGGCCTTGCCCAGGTGAGGGAAATGAAGGCGTCTGCAGGTATGTGGGCTGGAACTCCGAAAATTCTGCCTAGGAAACCTTTGGAGTGTTCTGGGATTTGCAATCCAAACCCAGCCCCCCCCCCCC